TTTTTGGTGTCCTCTTCAATTTCTTTAGTCAATGTTTTACAGTGTTCATTGTAGAGATCTTTCACTTTGCTTATTTTAATTCCTAGGTATTTACCTTTATTTGTGGCTATTGTAAATGGTATTACATTTTTTATTTCTTTTTCAGATTGTTCACTGTTGGCATACGGAAATGCTATTAATTTTTGTATCTTGATTTTGTATCCCGCAACTTTACTGAATTTGTTTGTCAGTTCTAATTTTTTTTTTTTTTTTTTGGTGAAGACTTTAGGTTTTTCCAAATAAGGTCACATCATCTGCAAACAAAGATAATTTGACTTCTTTTCCAATGTGAATGCCTTTTATTTCTTTCTGTTATCTGATTGTTCTAGCTAGGACTTCTAATACTACACTGAGTAACAGTGGTGAAAGTAGCCATCCCTGTCATGTTCCAGATCTTAAAGGAAAGGCTTTCAGGTTTTTCCCCATTTAGTATAAAACTTCTGTCATACATAGCTTTTATTATGTTGAAGTATATTCCTTCTAAACCCATTTTTGAGGTTTTTTTTTTTTCTTATCATGAAGTGATGTTAAACTTTATCAAATGCTTTTTTGGCATCAATTGAAAAGGTCATATGATTTTTGTCCTTCATTCTGTTGAAATGATGTATGATATTGATTGATTTGCATATGTTGAACCATCTTTACATCTCTGGGATAAATCCCACTTGATTGTAATGAATGACCTTTTTAATGTAGCATTAAATTTGCTTAGCTCGTTGTTGAGCAGTTTTGTATTAATATTCATTAGAGATATTGGCCTGTAGTTTTCTTTTTTTGATGCATCTTAGATATCTAAGTTTGGTATTGGGGTAATGCTGGCCAAAGAGAATGAGTTTGAAAGTATTCCTTCATCCTCTATGTTTGGAACAGTTTAAGTAGAATTGGCATTAGTTCCCAGTAGAATTCAGCAGTGAAGCCACTGTGTCCCAGGTTTTTTTCTTTTCTTGAAAAACTTTTTATTATTACTTTGATCTTGTTACTTGTTATTGGCTTATTCAAGTTTTGGATTTATTTCTGATTCAATCTGCGTAGGTTTTATGTGTCTAGGAATTTGTCCATTTCTTCTAGATTTTTCAATTTATTGGCTTTTTTTTTCATAGTAGCCACTTGATATGGGTTGGCTGTATCCCCACCCAAATCTCATCTTGAATTATAACTCCAATAATTCCCACATGTTGTGGGAGGAACCCAGTGAGAGAAAACGGGGTCATGTAGGTGGTTTCCCCATACTGTTCGCGAGGTAATGAATAAGTCTCACAAGATCTGGTGGCTTTATAAGGGGTTTCCCCTTTCACTTGACTTTCATTCTCTCTTGACTACCGCCATGTAAGGTGTGTCTTTCACCTTCTGCCTCCCCAGACACATGGAACTGTGAGTCTATCAAGCCTCTTTTTTCTTTATAAATTACCCAGTTTTGGTTGTGTCTTTATCATAGTGTGAAAATGGATTAATACAGTAAATTGGTATTGGTAGTGTGGGGTGCTACTGTAAAGATACCTAAAAATGTGGCAGAGACTTTGGAACTGGGTAACAGGCAGAGTTTGGAATATTTTGGAAGGCTCAAAAAAACAGGAAAATGTGGGAATTTCGGAACTTTCCAGAGACTTGAATGACTTTGACCAAAATGCTGATAATGAAATGGACAATGAAATTCAGGCTGAGACAATCTCAAATGGAGATCAGAAACCTACTATGAACTGAAGTAAGGGTGACTCTTGCAATGTTTTAGCAAACATGGCATTTTGTCTTTGTCCTAGAAATCTGTGGAACTTGGAGCTTGAGGGAGATGATTTAGAGTATCTGGCAGAAGAAATTTCTAAGCAGCAAAGCATTCAAGAGGTGACTTGAGTGCTGCTAAAGCATTCAGTGTTAAAAGGGAAGCAGCATATAAAAATTTGAAAAATTTGCAGTGATAGAAAATTTTTGACAATGTGATGAAAAAGAAAAACCCTCCAGCTTTGTTATTTTTGCTTAGGATTGTCTTAGCTATATGGGCTCCTTTTTGGTTCCATATGCAGTTAAAGTGGTTTTTTCCAGTTCTGTGAAGAAGGTCAGTGGTAGCTTGATGGAGATAGCATTGAATCTACAA